ACTGTCTTCCCAGCTGGAAATGGTTCTGGTAACATCAAAAATAGTCTCACAGCCGTTAAGCTTTACTGATGGTATTTTATGCACAAAGAGATAGTGCAATAAAATCAATTTTCTTCCACATGCCCCCGTTAACTTTTTTTTTTTGACTTGCTCCTTTAGCATTCTTTACCAAAACGAATCATCTTTCCTTACCATAGTAGCAAGGTTACACTTGAAAACTGCATGGTTCCAAGGGAAGACTACACAAGAAAGATAAATCTGCTAAAGGTTACAAACCACATCTGACTCAAAAACTCCCCAAATCAAAAATAACCAGAGACTGGGAAAGTATTAGAACTATCAAGTGTCTGCCCTGCTCTTATTCTTCCTTAACGCTACTGGAGATAGCACATCAGGCTAGACAGACCTTTGTTCTAATAAAACACAGTCATACTTATGTCTTTTCGAGTCAGCATATTATTTTAATCGCCTCAGACTCTATTCTAACACTAACAACAAAATTACTGTTATTCTGTAATACTCATGGCCTAATAACCTAAACTCAGGTTACTGAAAGTACAGAAAGATTCCTGGTAACAAATAACTATATTACTGGAATAAACAGAAGCAATAAGGTTATTATACATGAAGTTCAGACTGCCACGTCATCCTCAATATCATTCTGGAACTAGGTTATACGCTGGGAAATAGCCTCAATTGCAGAAATTGAGAGAACACCTGCTAGTAGCCTTGCAAGTTGAAATAGCTGGGGAGTTTCTAGTAACAACATGTTTGTAAAATTCACCACTGTTTATTAAAATAGTTCAAACCAACTGTCATCAGGGGAAACCTTACTGCATAGGGCCTACATGTAACACCCTCCATCTGGCTGTGCAAGGGTTGCAAATGCAACTGCTCTAGTACACAACTGGTTAGACACAACTGGACACCAGGGAATTCATGACTCTTGAAGCTTCTTTCATTTCTGAACATCACCTTCCAGGATGGGCTCCCATCTTCTATAAACGTTGTAATAAGACCTTTCTTAGGCTAAATGACCCAGGGCATCTACACTCCTGAAGTCTGCTGGCTCCCTCAGCTAGGTAAATTTTGAGCATGTAGAAAGAAAACCAAAACCAAAAGAAGACAACCTTGAAACAAGATAAAAACCATCTCTCTGTAATAAGCTAGAAGCCCTTATATCTCAAGGAAAAGAACAGTCAGCTTGGCAAAAAAATCTTTGAAGGTGGCCAGATACTGAGCAAAACTAGTAACAGTTCTCATTTTTACAACTGAAAATATCAGAGTGGAAACTTGCTCACCACGTGACACTTCCATGACAGTGTCACATCCAGCCCAGTGGGCAACACTAAATGGCCTTGTTTACCTATACAACTGGAAAAAGTACTGGGAGTTCTTTCTAGGACAGTTCTAACATACTAGAGCTTCCATCTTTCATTTCACCTTTGAGGAGTGTAAATACTTAATGGAAATTCTCTATTCTTATCTTTGGCTACCAAAAAGTAAACAGGAAGACATTCTCCTTTTCCCTGCTTGCCTGGGAACTGGGACAAGGAAGAAAGAGGTTTCAGTATTGCCTTGGTCCCACATCGCTTCTGCTTTAGGTTCTCCTCCAGCAATTGCTTCTATCATTCCTTAGAGCTTTTCTAAATGGCAGTAGCAGCATGGTATTGACATGATTTATCTCATTTTTATTGCTCGGTGCTAATGGGATTTAGATGGTGCGTGTGCTTTTTTGTGGCACACTGGGATCTGTATCAACACAATGCATTCTATTATTAAAACATCCGAATCTGCTCAACTCCTTATCAAGTTCTTTGGGAAAATACTTTACAGCTGCTTTAGTAGGCAATTTATACAGCCAGTTGATCATCTCAATTTGCAGACTTCAGTCTAGCTCACACATAAAGAGCCATCTTAAATTGCAACTTCTGAACACACATACCTAAATGATAAACAACTTGTTTTGTTCCATAAATTCACTGTACAGAAATTTGACCATTTTCCCCTTCATACTGTTATAATACACCCAGAGTCTCCACTTGTTATGTAATTTTATCTCTGTACAGTAACAGTCACAATGCACTGGCATACTTTGGAATCATTATATATTGAGCATTATCTCTGACCTCCTTGCCTTACCCACTTGGCTTCCAGTTAACAATTTATGAGCTGGAGATAGCATAAGGCTGAACCTCAAAAAATTAGTACCATTTATTTTCTTTAGTCATGGTTTCAACCTCTATAACTTCCTGGGGAAATGAGTTTCATGACTTCATTACACTTCATGTTAAAAATACTTCCTTTTAGGTTGGTTACCTGTTAACAGTGTGTACTCTATTTCTTGCATTGCAAAAAAAAAAAAAAGTGATATGAAGAAGGTGGTACAGAAACTATTGCAATTTTATAGACTTCTATCATCTTGCTCTCCTCCTTTCCTGACCATTATTGCCATTACAGGCTAAATAATGCTTACACGAAAGCTAAAAAATGACTTAATACTAAATTCTCCTCTAATGTACATTCTTCTGTGTCTTCAGAGCAATTAGGCAACAAAGTAATCAAAGCAACTCCAGAGCTTGGGTGCATTAGGACTCCCTGTTAAGACATTTACTTCTAAGGATTTGGAGAGAACTGCAGAAAACAGAACCTATGAAAACCAGATGACTTAAAATAAAAGTAAGTCTTAGTTTATCCATCTTTGAACTGAAAGTATAGTGTGATGCTTTCAAACACAGCAAGAAGAGACATGTAGCTCAAGGCAAAAGTCAGGAGCCCTTCAGCAAGCTGAAAAAGTTACTGAGTTGCTTGCCAGACCTCCTCTTTCACAAATTCTTTAATATGCTTTCTTGGCTAGTTATCAGTCTGCTCCCTGTATGAAGGCCAGTCCATTTTGAAAAACATGACAAATATTCAGACAATGCAGTATAAAGAGTGCCTTCTGTAACAATTCTGACAGCTTCTTAGGGAAAAAAAAAAGTCAAGACAAAACTTAAGCTACATTGTCAAGCTTGTAGATAGTCTATCTTCTTTCCTGGGTTCCTTTCTATCATCACTTAAAGGAAAAAAACACACCCAAACACAAACGCACACATTCTTCCCTGCACCAGTGTCTTAAGGGGAATTTGTTCATTAAGACTAAAAACAAGCAACCCCTAACGCCTCTCCCCTGCCTTAAAAATACAGAGCCACTGTTTTGGACAAGCTTATTAAACAGAAGCAGGTTTTGCCCCAAGTTCTGCCAACTTTGTAAACCTGGCAGATCAAAAGGAACTTACTTAAACTCAAATCAGTTCTTCACTAAACCAAACTAGCCTCGTGCCAAAAGAGGAAAGAGGCAACACATACAGACAACTAATTCTGCCACAGCAGTAGTGTCACAAAACTACATGTCCCTGGAAACATTCAAGACCAGGTCGGATGGGGCTCTGAGCAACCTGATCTAGTTGGAGGTGTCCCTGCTCACTGCAGGGGGGTTAGACTAGATGACCTCTAGGGGTCCCTTCCAACCCAAAACATTCTATGATTCTATACCTGTCCACATACACAGGTACACGTGTACATATTGGTGTCAAAAATATTTCTTTACTCTTTCATTCTCATTATTACTGTTCTCTATCACTTGGACAATAAATTGGCAAACTCAGACTCATTCTGTAGGACAACTCGACACTTATTTTAAGATACTACAACACACAGTAAACTTGAATGTACTTACATCAAAAGTAAGGCATAATGATATGCAACTGAATAGTCTGTACACATACCAAAAAGCTGAAAGTGAATCTACTAAGTCTTGGAAAGCATTTGACTCTCCATTTTTTAGAAAAATCTGTTCCATAATCTTATCTATGTACTTTGTTAAAAGCAAAGCCAAGAGAAGCGATGCTACATTTCAAGCTCTGAAGTTGGTTCTTTAGCCGCAAACTACATAGTTTAATAACTGCATTTCTACAGAACAAAGTTTGTTCACCTAAACCACGAAGATAAAGCGACTTTGTGAGTCTCTGTTACCCACATCCACAATGGTGGGAAGCACATAGAACACACAGAATGGCTACTGGATGAATCAGGTATGCTTGCCACTTTTTATTCTCAGTTACAAGTTTTTTTCTGTATGACATCGATCAAGTAAGTTGTAATTTGCCAACATATAACTCATAGCCAAACTTCACACAAGATTCCTCCTCAATTTATTTTGAGGCGCTTAGATAGTAGCACATATTAATGCTCTGTCTTGATCAGAGACGTAAATGAATGGGGAGCCACAAAGGCATCCAACCAAAATGCTGAAGTCAGCACTAGGATTTTATTGAAATCATAATTATGTTTCTTCTAAACAGATGACACTAGAATAATTCTCACAGTTGCTCGTCAGTTTATGCAATATTAATGAAATAAGTCAATGGTTCAGTCTGCTTCATTTATACGAGTTTTTTTTATGGGTTTCATCTATGCTTTCTTTGACAGAAGTCTTTCCATGAAAAAGCCACTGCTTACTAACTTATAGATGGGCACCTATAACAAATCTAAAAGACAACTACCAAAACCAGCACGTATGGCAATATCACACCCATGCATACCTCCAGTAAATGAAGCAACAGAGACATCACTTAAGATTAAAAAGCATGAAAATCCCCGCAGAGAGTGGCTTGCTGCCTTAGCTTCACAGCCCCACTTTCCACAACATAACAGTGTTCACATGAGGCAGACCTTCATTTTATATTAACAGTATTCTTATTCTTGCCAGGTGGGAGATTTTAAGATCTAAGAATGGCTTTAGGTAGGCTGGATAGAAATGAGGGCAACAGAAGAAAATTACTTATCAAATGTATACACATAATTTCACTACAGTAGTAGATGGAGCTATATACACTATTGGTGACATCTTTTTGTCCTAACAAGAACATCCATGTACACTGTGACACTACAGCTTCTCTTATCTCTTTGCTGGCATATGATTTTATTTAGAATATAAAAACAATAGAAAGCCACCTTACCTTTTTCTTCATCTATTCGAAAAACTCCTATACCAGATCCATCTCTGATGGAATATCTAATCTCCCCATCTCGTCCTGTATCTTCATCATAAGCAGATACTGTCATTACTGAGGAGCCAACAGGGGCATCTTCTTTTATAAAACCTTTATCTGCAAATATAGAGAACCGTGGAGGGTGCAAGTTTTCATTCACATCAACTACCTCAACCTCAACATAACACGTAGAGGACAATGAAATGGGTTTTCCTTTGTCCTTGGCCCGCACAGTCAAGTTATAAAGTTGTTTCTTTTCATAATCCAGTCTTTGTACAATACGTACTGCTCCACTTAGTTTGTCAACATCAAAGGTGCCATCTCCACTGTCCAAAAGACTGTATCGTACTTGACTTGACTGGCCTAAATCAGGATCATAGGCTTCTAGCCACGTAATAATAGTTCCCTCAGGAAGATCTTCTCGAATTTTCACATGATAATTTGAAGGAATAAACTTAGGAGGATTGTCATTAACATCTTCTACAGATACTTTCAAAATAACTGTTGAAAATAATTGAGGTTCTTCAGTAGGTTGGTCCCTAGCCTCTATTTTCAAGAAATAGACGTGCTGTTCTTCACGATCCAGAACTCCTACAACTTTCACAATTCCTGTCACAGCATTAATGGTAAACTTGTCTGTGTCTGTAAGAAGAGAATATTTCACTTCTCCATTAGCCCCCAAATCTTTGTCAGTAGCTTCAATTTGAATTACTTCACTGTTTGGCTCTTTGTTTTCACTCACTTCAACAAAATAGCTGCTTTGCAGGAACTCTGGTGGGTTGTCATTAGCATCCAAAATTTTTATATCTAAAAGGTGCCAGGCAGACTTCTGTGGTATTCCAAGATCATAGACAGTAATATTTAAAGTATATTTATCTTTTACTTCTCGGTCAAGGGGAGACAAGATTTTCAGCATTCCTCTTTCCATATCAACAATGAAACTACTATCGTCATTACCTCCAGAGATAACATACACTAGTTTTCCATTGAAGCCAGTATCAAGATCAGTAGCATCCATAAGTATTATGCTGGAGCCCACAGGTTGGTCTTCTCTTATCTCAACACTACTGGGGAGAGTACTTCTAAACTGAGGTGCATGCAGATTCAAAGAGTGTGTGTCAGAGAAAACATCCTCAGTTTCCCCACGACTGTGCAATTTATTTGCTTGTAAGAGTTTTTCTGCAAGCATTTTGGCAACACCAGTTTCTTCACATTGCAAGTTGATGGGTTTGCGACTAGTAGCTACAGTTATGTTGATATACAGTGGTTTTGCAAAGTTTTCTCCATCTGTAGCTGTAATTTTCAAACTGTGAAAAGACATTTTAGCACCTAGGCCATCTATTAGTGACTGTTTGAGTGAAAGTACTCCAGAATTTGGATTTAGGCTAAATAAATCTAGTTCATTTCCAGATTCAATTTGGTATCTCACCAACTGGAGCTCATCAGCGTCAATAGCAGACACAGTTGTTATTTGTTCTCCAACACCAAGATCCCTGGGTATTGTTCCCTCACAATTTATTTTCTCAAACAGAGGTATATTGTCATTGAGGTTATTTAAAATAATAGTAACAGGAACTTCAACTTCTCGACGATATGGTATACCCCAATCAGAAGCTCGAATCCTTAAATTGTAAACCCTTGGCATCAATTCATAATCCAAGTCTTCTGAGGTACTAATAATCCCACTGAAATGGTTAATCACAAATGGCAAAGGATTTAGGTTTGCAATGCTATAGGTCACATAACCATTCTCCCCTTCATCAGGGTCTTTTGCACTTACTCTCATGACACTTGTACCTATTGGCACATTCTCATCAAAGGAGGCTTTATAGGATGTCTGAGTAAATTCAGGAGGATTGCTGTTCATGCCTAGTACCTTAATTAATACTTTTGCAGAAGCTCGTCTGTCACTCGTCACAACTTCAAGTTCAAAATGGGATGCATATTGTGCTTTTATGGGTTCTAAAGTGGTAATAAGACCAGTGTGAGTGTTTAAGTTGAATTTTACTTTGCCAGGTGTATTTTTAAATATGTATTTTAAGTGTGGGTAATTAGGCAGAGCTTTCACCATTATCACAGGTGTGTTTGGAGGGGCAAATTCACTTATTTCAGCTCTATACATTTCTTTTTCAAATCTGACAGGACCAGACTTAAATTGTGGCGATGTTACATGAACAACTTTTACAGAAGAAAACTGGGGGGGATTTCCTTTATCTTTAGCTTGAAGGGTAAGGTTGTATCCAAATGGGTGGCTCTCCCAATCAATGTGACCAATGGCTTTTATTTTGTATTCTTTACCTCCTGGAACAGACCTCACTGTTTTGAACTGTTGAAGTGGATCACCTGCAACAATATTTAATGATGCTATTTCCCCATTTGAACCCTGATCATTGTCCTCTACAGTTACAATTGCATAAGTTGGATCTTTGTCCAATTCTGATGGAGTCAATGTAACAGCTGTAATAATGGGGGCATATTCATTTGCTTGCTCTACATGAACAGTTAGTTTCGCCATACTGCTTATGCCACTGCTGCCATACAACTTCAGCCCACGGTCCACTGCAAGAATTTCCATCTCATATCGCTTAGTATCCGAGTAGTCAAGTCTACCAGTTAGAACTACCACTCCACTAGTTGGATGTATAGCAAACACATCCGTTCTTTCTTTAAAGCTATAGTAGAACTCTCCATTTGTTCCTATATCTGCATCTGTTGCACTGACTCTTGCGATGCTGGTCCTTATTGCTGTGTTTTCAGGCAAAGAAACACTGTAAGACGTTGGAGAAAACAAAGGCCGCAAGTCATTTGTATCCAGTACCTGTATCCTGACCTTCGTGCGTGTTTCAGCATTTGTATTTTTTTCAACTGCTTTAACAGTCAGCATATAATGGTCTTTTACCTCTCTGTTAAGGATAGCTGTGTTTCCTCCCTTGGTCCGTATTCGCAAAAAGCAAAAGTTTCCAAGAACATATTCTTCAGCTTTGAATAAGTTCTCATTGTCACCAGAAATAATCTTGTATCTCAGGTCCCATAATGGATTTGTAATATAAATGCCCATTTTCACTGGATGCCCAACATAAGTCTTGGCTGCAGAATTCTCATACACAGTGGCATTATATTGTACTTGCGTAAATTGCATTGGTGGAGCATGATGTAGCCTTGGATTTCCTTCACAGTTTCCAAAATGCTGCACCAGCAGCATCAGCAGCAACATCATAGTCAAGTATCTTCCCATGGCAGCAATTACAAAGAAACCCTGGAACAAGAGAGAGATGTGTTAAAAAACTTATAACTGTTCAAATATTATTCAAATAACCTTGATGTTTAGGTTAGAATTCATGTTTGAAAGAACACTAGAAGTTACACATCTAAGGTATAGCCTTTTTTGCAGAAAGTTTCAACATGATTTACAGTAATAGAAAAGCAGAAAAATTTAAACTCCTAAAAAATGCCAAGAATCCGCAAGACCGAGACTCTAGGAATTACTAGCGTGACACAAAGGGAACACAAGAGTTAACGTCAAATGAACAACTCCATGAAGCAACATGTTAGAAGAAATATGCCAGTGCTATCTGCTATAAGCAAGCAAACTAGATCTGAACTAATCTGGAGTAGTGAACATTCGCTCCAATCTTCTACTTTGTATGTGACATTGCCTTCTGATAGAAAATTCTCGCTCATTTCACTTAGATTGTAAAATGGCTGATGTCTGATGATGTGGAAGTAAACTGCAAGAGTTGGCTTGAAATGACCATGAATTCTTCAAAGTATCCTATAAGCACCTGTTCAAAGAATGATAAATAGAGACTAGTTCTGTACTTATTCTATTCTCTCCAGCTCTGAGTACCCTTATAAGAGTAGTGGATAGCAGTGCATATTGTAAAAAAAACATTTTTATCAAGCATCGCTAAGTTGTAAAACCAATGAAGAATGAAGCATATTCCTTTACTCCCCTCTCAGAACAGATCTGAAACAAATTAGTATCAAGAGCTCTGAGAACAAGAATCTATCAAAAATAAGTAGAGGAACTATTAAGACACATTTCTCAAAACACACTCCAGAAATGCCAGGGAAAGAGTATCATTTCCAATGCCTAAATCCAGGCAAGACTACAGTAGGAAGAAAGGCAGAAACCTCAGGAACAAGATCTTTGCGATCATCCTCTTCATCTGGGTTTATAGCAACAGTCTTTACTTCCTAAAGTCTCACAGGATAACAAATCAAAGCTTCAGAATGCTTCCTCAACAAGCCCAAGCTTTCAACAAAATGTCGGGAGAGAAATTTCTTTCCAGCAAGTAGAAAGCAGTCTAGCTTTGACTTGATTACTTCAATTAAGTAGTACACATTCTTTTCTTTCACCTTTCCCTATTTATCCTAAATATTTTTCCCTTTTTCCCTTTAGCATTTTTCTCCCTGGTCAGTCAGTTACATGACTCATACTAATTCCCAACCATACTAATTCTTAACTGTAGTCTTCTTTCATTCCTCCTGATCTTCTCTCCCACATTTCAGCCCTTGTTTGTCCCTGCTCTGTCAGCCTGTCAGCCTCTCCTCGGTGTCTGTCCTCACACTAGTTCTGTCCATCTCAGCTCAAAATGTATCACATTATGTTGTCTCCTTCCTCCACTCACATTTTCTTTTACAGTTATTTCTCTCTCCCCTAATTCGTACCTGCTCAGGTAGATATATGAAAGATCACATAGGCTGAAATTCCACAGACTGTGTCTCTGCCCACTAGAAAGCATTAGAGCAAATTAATCTCCTTGTGTCAACAGCTCACTCCAAAACCTCAGAAGAAGGTAATTTAGTCACAGCCATTTCTAAGTCAATGATTTTGAGAAGAGAAGAATTTAAGACTCTGATTCACAGAAACTATAAGTAATATTAGAGAGGAGTAATGAAAACTAAGCTAGTACCCTTTTGGAAGGAAAAAAAAAGTGCGTCTGTCTTCCAAATCTAGCAATTAAGTTACATGATTAAAGCTATAACCATAGCAAACAAAAAGAAAAATGAGCAAACAATAAAAAGTGAATGAGCTTTTAAAAGTAAGACACTAGCTGAAACCACTACTTACAAGGTCTTAAAGCTGGATGAAGGAAAGGTTGGGAGGGCAAATGAACATGAGGTTGGAACAGCCACCGTTTCAAAGGGTTCACAAAATTCTTCCTGTCCTGGGAATAAACAGACACTTGGGTCTCCAGGGCTTCATCCCCCTAACATACTGCCATGTAAAGGAGTATTTTCCTTTAAAAACAAAAAAACCCACACAAAACCAAAAAACCCAAAAAAACCCAAAAGCCAACCAAACCCCTGCCATAAATAACTGATATCAATACTTCCAAAGCTCCGAGCAATTAAGACACCATTAGACTGTGCTAAAAGATGTGTTGAGAAATTATTACATCATTTTTAAGTAATCAACAGAAACAGTTTCTTTTACTCCATCTTGCTGGTATTTTGGAAGCTATTATCAATAACTACTTAATGATCAGATCTTATACCGATCTGACCAGAAGTTTCCTTCTTTTCTTTCTCAGTTAGGCTAGGATTTTTTTTTATCTTTTTTTTTAATTTATGCTTAAGTCCAAAATCCAGCTTGACCTCTGATACTATGGCAACCCATAACTCACTGACTATACTTACGTTTGGTAACAAGCTGTCTGAAGCAGTGTATTTATTATGTAAAACATTGTACCTGTCTGTATCTTACCATTTGCTCTCCACATCTCAAGCACATCAGACAACACACACCACACTATGATGTATTAGACTGCACTAAGACATCCAAACACCTTATTAAAATTCAAAGTTGAACACGTGTGTTTTACTATTACCATAAATATTTTTCTGTGCCATAATACCTTAAGCACTCTTTGCTGCTTTTCTGTAATAACTTCAAGTGGAGTCCTCTCAGAACTGGCAACAGGCAGCCTATTACACATGATGACGCAACTACCAGTAAAAGAATCCATTCCTCAGCAGCAACTTCTAAGATTTGCTGAGTCACAGCTGAGAGCTGAGATACGAGTATCTCTCAACTGAACAGTTAACCATGTCAGATAAAAAACAAGTTAGTCCTTCCTGTTACATGACACTTTTTCCATCTCGTCATAATTTACACAGCTACTGGAAATTAAGAAATGTTGATCCAGGATTATCCAAAAATCAACATAATATAATCTTGATAAATATTTAAAGTATTAAACAATGCTAGTTATAAAGACAGTTAACTACTACGGGAAAGTATGAAAGTGTTAAGATAAAGTGATAATGTGTTAGACATAAACTCAGATGGCTCATTACAGTGAGCCAGAATGACTGAATTTCAGAAACATTTTAGCCAAAGGCTACACTTTGAAGTCCTAATTTTTTTATTATCTTTGGAATATGACCAATTTAGGATTTTCTGCATCCATTTTCAACACATAAGGCAACCGTCTGCTTAACAAAACATCATAGCCTTAGATTTATAAGAAGTGCACACTGTATTCACTCTGAAAAGCTACTATCAAGCAAACTTTGATTTCCTATTTGGAAATTATTAACTGAATAATTTTTATTTATATGTATATCCAGATCATTTTTACTTATACGCATATTCAGTGCCGAGATATATAAAAGTTAATATTTCTTAGTTGTTGTTATTCTTTCCCATATGTTAATTGTGTTGATGTGTTAGCAATATTGTTAACATTGTAACTAAGTAGTAAAACTATCTTCATATTAAAGGTATAAGAAGCAGCAAAATTTTGGGACTAGGAGACCTCAATTTGATAACTTACAAATGAAGATGATTTGGATAAAATAGCAGCCATATAAGAGACTTTCTCTTAGCACTATGTTTACAGTATCTAGTTAATAGTTTGAGATTTGGAAGTTTTAAGCATAAAATACAGAATTTAGTAAATGGCAATCTCAATGCTAAGCAAGCCAACAAAACGAACAGAGAAATCAAGCTTATCTCCAACATAACATACCAACGGGGAGCATACATTGAGAGATTTACTCCCCCAATCAAATAAAAGTCACAGGTAGAAAGATTTACTCCCCCAATCAAATAAAAGTCACAGGTAGAAAAAGAACCTAAATCAGACCACATAGCCCAAGTCATGATGCGCCCTAGTCCCATTGCTATCCACTTTCTACATACAAGGTCTGCCAGTTCAGTCCGGAAGGACTTACTGCAAGACTAAGCTACATCGCTTACATTAGCAGAATGAGACTCTCCGAGCATGGCCTGTTACACCGCTCTAGGGAAACACCAGAAAGCATTTTGAGGACTAAAAGAGGTTCTACAATGATCCTCTACTGAAATCTTTCACGAACTTTTAACAAATGTAATGGGGGCTTTCCTCCCCACACGTGCACCAGCTTCTTTGATTTGTAATATTAAGTTATTACCTGAAATGTTTGTAGCAACTAAAACATCGCCCATCTACTTTAAAGGTCAGGTTTGATCAGCATACGCAACTGATGCTGTTTGACACAAATGCGCTGTGAAAAGTTAGTACTGCTGTAACTGAACTGTCATGAGAGGGTTCCTATTGCAGCAGCCTATGAGAGATTGTGTGCCTTTGTGGGCCGTACTAACTGTAGTTACATCTACTCTTTCAATTGTTTTAAAGCAATTACTTATGTAGCCTGATTGTTTCAAATAAAAAAAAAAAAAAATCAGGCTTAGCTATTTCAATAAGCTTAAGTTTCCAAACAAAAAACTTAACAGTGTCTTTTGCTTTTTCTGGGAGGGAAGGTGTCCAGCTGTTTTAGTATCCAGAAAATTAAACACAGGATGAAAGCATATGGTAACATTACTTTAGTAAAGCTGGTAAGTTATTCAAAAAATGTTACATTGTCACAGAGATTAACATAACAGTTTTAACTTGTGACTAAACTCCAGCAAGTTTTATGCTTATATCCTCCACATTACGAGTTAACCTCATGAGATGCTGTGATTTATGCTTTCGAGGTCTTTGCTGTTAGAACGGAAATGCAGCAGCTGTACTCAAACAGCATGCAGAGATTCTGAATTTGGAGTGAAACAAAGTTTCACACAGAGGATTTTGACTATTTACCTGTATGGCAGTTACTTACTAGCGTATCTAATACTGAACTCACCAGTTATGCAAGGAAAAGCAGACCTCCAAATTCTGTGAATGAAAAAGTTTGATTGAAATTTAACATGGCACCTTAAAGTCTGTGATGACAAAAACAGTTTTACTGCACTTGAACTCAGTTTTAAACCTAAAAAAA